TTTCTGCTATAAATATGCAAAGCCGGAAGTAGCCGCTTGTCAGAGTGCAACGGTGGCTCAGCGCGGGCTTTGAGAATTTTCACCGGTGAAGATTTATCATTGAGGAAACTACTCTGAATGAGTGCTTGATATTGTTGCCTTTGTAGGTCAGAGTGATCGACCTTGTTTGGTTGTAAGAATTAAATGTCGTCCTCGATGACGTGATATGAAGGTTAGATCTGAAAATGGCCAAAAAAAAAAAAAAAATATTAGAAAGTCTCGTTACGTTATCTATAATCATCATTTTTTTGTTTTTATAGCGACACAAAACATTCCTCAAATAATTTTGAAGTGTGCTGATGAGGCCGTCTCCGGTTACGTGAACCGGCAGTCCGTGATAACGGTTAATTTGATACCGCTTGTATCGATTTGATCCATTGTGGCTCTGAACTATTTAGAGGAAAAGTTGTAAAAAGTAATATTGGATTAATATCCGTTGCAATTTTGCCATCAAGGACTTTAATGTACAAAATTTCGGTTAGAGAAATAAAAATCGAGATGTTCATGTGGTAGAGCTTCTCGCAGTGCAGAAGAGACGAGAAATGTCCGCAAGATAGTCGTTTCCTTTCCGGAGAACCCTATTTTATACACTTAACAGGGTATATTAAGATTTCCACAGAACCTCGGAGGTCCTATTAAATATATATGTATGTACATAATTGGTTTGACGAGTTGAGCCGATTTAGCCATATACGTCTGAGGTATAGAACTGAAATTTTGCACGTGACCTTTTCTCCGCAAGTAGCTGATATCGGACTACTGCAGCATATTCATAGCTGCCATAGACACTGAACAATCGGACTTCGCTATCTTCACCAAATTTGGCATGGATTACTTTTTTGTTGTTGTAACTGTTATACAGTTCCCGTTACGATAGTAAGGTTCAAATAAGTTTTCATCGAGGTCATCTAACGGTAGGCCCAGGAAACGACGGGGTCGGCACATAGGGAGATGGGTGTCAAATGTGTGGGCATGCAAAGAGGTGGTTAGACATACGGCAACTCGTTGCACTCTGGACATATGTATGTTGGATATGTCGGGGTTGAATAGTATCCAAAACGAAACAGCGCCAATGCCACTCTCGATTCTAGCGGCAATTCGAACTCTTCTTCTGCAATGGGACAGGAGTCGGTGAAGGTGTTTATGGCTCCAATGAATGGCAATCAGTGCATGTCTGAAGTTTCTATTTTTCCATTATTCCTGCTATGAAAGTAAGGTTACTGGCACCTTTAGATCCCATTGCACTCCTATGGTGTATCCATAATATAGCATTATACATATATGCCTTACAGTTTTATTTAAATTTTCAGCTTGTCCTTTGACGACCAACAGATTACACGACAGTCGGGTCCGTTCCCACGACAGTCGAGTTTAGGTAACCGAAACGGATCCAGATTTTTTATCTTGCTAAATACTGTCAACTTGGCAGAATTCTGCTGCCACAACAATAAAAACAACGACAGTCGGCGTATTTGGAAGGTATACCGATATTATGGAGTCCGCCTTGAAACTCCGAGCAATTCTTATTCAGCCGGAATGGTGAAAGTTTTTTCGGACCTTCCGCTACCATCAAGTCTTTTCACTTCAATAGTCACTTTTAATTTAGCGATAATGTATTGAACAGTAGTATAAGGTTTTTCAACAATATTTTATTTCGCGTGTACTTTTATTCGCTTGCCAATATTGTATTTCCATAGAATATAAATTTTGAGCTGCTTGTTTATTCACCATTCTTTCAATTCTTTCAAGAACTATAATCTATAAGTTTGACCGTAAAAATATAACGGTACCTGCTCCGTTCCACGACAGTCTGGACCCGGATTTTTTATCCGGTCAAAGACTGTCAACTCGGCAGAATTCTGCCGCTAAAACAACGGTACCTACTGTATAACTGGATTTAACTACCAATTTTTTTTTTTTATTGAAATAGTTTAAGAGATACGTCTTGAGTTTATATTTTAACAACAAAAGATTCCTTAATCATGTATAACAGCATATAAAGTAAAAAAATAAATTTCATATTTTAAATTGGCATTTTTACTAATATTTTAAATATTTAAGCGAATTTCATCTCTCCCTTTGAATATTCATTTTCTAATTTTGAACTGAATCATACAGTGCAATTATCGACTCGATTTTGGCAAAGATGCCAATATCATCGCAGCGATCTACGATATCATCATTCCTCAACAGTTTACTAGAATTCATTTCAATATCTCTCAGGGTCAAACCAGCAAACCGCTCTTCACTTAAATTAATGCGTACTGTACCACTACCAATGCATTTTCCTTCCGCATCATCATATTCGTAGATCTGAAAGCATGCCCATTCCTCCTGCTCCTCCAGTTGGGAAGAAGAAGAGACGACAGGTGATTGGTTAATATTGTCCGATGTGTTATTGGCTTGCGAACATACCAAATTGAGAGTTGTCTCCGGACACAATGCGGTTGTACTGCTCGGAGCTGCTGTTGTATTTTGCGATTCCAACATTGATACATTTGAGTTAGTTAGTTTAGAAATATTTTCAATAAATTCTTGAGTCTCATCATCCTGAATCGCATAACTTAATTCTTTATTCGGGATTGGAGTTTCTTTGGTGATATTCTCGCGGAATGTCTCAGGAACAAATACTTGTGTCTCATCGTCTTCAATAAGTATCTGTTGCTGTGACTGCGTTTCTTTCGCTACACGTGTAACGTCTTCAAGGCAGGAATCGCTATCTTTTGATTGCAATATATCTTGATGTGGCACTTCGTTTTGCACTATTATTGAATTTTCATTGGACAAGTCACTATCCGTTGAGTGGATTAAGACAGTTTCTTCAACTGCAATTACAGTTTTGTTATCAACGCTCTTAATAGACTCAGCTACTATAGAAAGCATGGTATTATTATCCCTAACTGAATCGTCTGTACGATTTTTAAACACCGAAAATGATCCGGTTGATGCATTCAATTTAGACACATTTTGTGGAATTACAGTTACAAAACTATCACATGACATTGTTTCGTCTTCCTCGGAGAAGTTAGGTATAAAGCTCGACTCAGTTGTTTTATTAACATTTGCATTGTTCTTTGTCATAAAAATGCTCTTATCGATTATATCATTTGTATTCGCCGCTAACATTTCCTTCTCTTGCAAATTGCTCACATTCGCTTCAGTGCTCGCGCAAGTCGCACACTTAAATGTGGTTAACGGCTCCTTAGCATTTTCCTTGCCTAATAAACATATAGGATTGTGGGCCCCTACACTGCCGCATAATGAGCATAGTATCACAGACCATTTGCCTAAAACGTAGTTAAAATAAAATTTTAATGCTAAAATCAATTTAGGGAATTCACAGAAAAATATAATATATGCGAAAACCAACCACTTTGGTAATCACGTCCCCTTGGACAAAGGCACACTTCCATATTACAAGTGTTGTGTCCACGGTGTAGGTCGGTATATATGCCTTTCTGCGTCTCCCAGCGTGCATCTCTATCAGGCACAAAAATTCCCTGCGATCTTACAGACTCGCGAAAATCCTTGCTGCGGCACCAAAGACAACGCAAATAATAACCAGCTGCCAATGCATACTGCTGAACGCAAACATTGTGGGCATACCCACGGTTGCAGCATTTACCAAATATAAACATTATTTCATTGTACAAGCCCATTTGGTCGCGACAAATGCTACAACGTTCAAAACTGGATGGGCGTTTGTGCAGACCTGCCGGTTGAAGCTCCTTCCTGGGGACGCATTCATCGCAGTAGGAACGAAAATCGTCGACAAATGTGTATAGACATCGATTTTGTCGTCCGCAAACTAAATGAAAGTACTCATTGCATTTAAAGCATTGTATTGAGGCATTTTGTCGGCCACAATAGCAGCACAGACGTTTGGAAGCAGCAGTAATTTCTTTGCGTATATCTCGCACTAGAAAGCCGTTTATACCACTGCAATCTTTGCCTCTTTGTGGCAGATTAGTAGAGAGTAACTGCAAGAAAAATATCAAATTATTTAAGTTATGAGGATAGTTTTATAGGATGTTGTCATACCAAACAAAAGTAGTGTACGTTAATATCTCGACTATGTTGCCAATCTCCAAACATTAGTAAATCAAACGTACAATTTGTCTTATCTTTACAAATATCACAGATTTTATATTTCTCTTCAGACATTTTACAAATTTTAATAAATTTCAAACAAAAACAAATTACAAAACCGCTTTTTTGGTGCTACTTCTTCATATAACTCATTCACAATTGTGACTCTGTGTGAAAAAAACCCTCACCACACTAGTTCACAGTAGTATACATAATTATAATTAGAGAATGCAGAATTCGTAATTGGATATATTGATTTCTACTAGTCAGAGTTATGATTATTTGATTTATAATTTTAAATAAAAAATTTGATTTTGTAATTAAATTTAGTTCTTTGAGTTGAATGACCCTTTTTAGAATTTTATGTATATCTACTGTTTATTATTATATTAGTGAAAAAAGTAAAATCATCCCTTTCCTGCGATCTTTTTTATATTATTATTCTTTACAACAATAATGAGACTTATCAAACCCAACTATCAGTTAATTCTTTAGTTCATTACATAAGAGCATTATCCGAAATTTTTAAGAACGAAATAAATAATCGTATAAATTCTTAACCCGAATTGGCAGACCTAACCAAAATTCTTATTTACGTGTAATGATTCAACTCGTTCGTACGCATAGGACTTACAATTTTCAAGTTATGCAGGAGTTAGTTTCCATGCACATTCCATTTATATTACATATTTATCGAATCGTAAATTGCTGGGTACACACTTTAAAGACTCATGCGATTTTTTCTTTGTCACCACCTTATATTAACCAAGCGGTTTATGTCTTTGCTGTGGTCAACTGTACCTATGTCTTGACATGTTTTCACCGCGGAGGGATATTTCTTTGACGTTTTCATGATTTCTTTCGCCTCTTGTGAATATGTAATTGTGCGGGATTTCATTCAAGCGAACGTGTGTGAGTGCATTGTAAGCGGAGAACCAAAACTGCATTTTATTTGCGATAAAAGAATAGTTGACCAGAAAATACAATACAACGCGCAGAGCAAGAAGTATACAATATACAAAATAAAGGTTTGTGTGTAAAGTTTATAAAGGGTTAAATTAATTAGCTTGAATATACAATATTTTGGCGGTATTAAGAGCTGAAATTTGAGTGGCGTCTGCAGTTTTCTTGTTGAGGCAGGGAATTTCAATTTGATATAGAGACATTTTGCATAACGATAATTTGCCGGGATTAATGAAGCTGTAAAAGTGCAATAATGTTTTGATAATATAAATTACAGTATAGAATAATTGTAAGAACAGAGGTTTAGTGTACATAAAGGATAAAATTGTATATAACCTTCAATTAAGCAATATTTGTAGTAAAACGCGGAGAAAAAAAAAGAGACGAACCGCCATTTTTAAAAAGCCAGTGCCGAGTCTAGCGACTCCTTTGTGCGCTACAGTAGTGGCAAACAATATTGAGATAGAGAAAACATTTATTCAGTTATTATATACTTGAATTGTTGCTATTATATCTTCAATACATCTAAATATAAATGTGTGGTTAAAATAATTTAAATATTTCATTTTTTTTAATTGTTATTTTCCTCATATTGTATTCGGTTAATAATTCGTTTTGCTTTTTCGTGTTCTGTACTGCGAATGGTATAATGAAAACAAATAAATAAAATATCAACATCTTCACACTACGTTCTAAAGACTGCTGTTTGCAGTTCATTCCTGTTCATTCTTTGATATGTAAAGTTAAATTTTTGAAATTAATCATTATGAATATTAATAGTTCTGAACTCGATAAATTTATTATCACTATTCCCTTCATTCGGCGCCTGCTATATTATTTATATTTATAAATTTGGAATAGCATGTGCTTCTTACAAATGAGTTAATTTACTGCATGTATTTGTACTCATTGCAAGTTCCCCGTGTGTATAGTGTCCCCACCCTATAATTAACAATTCCAATCACATTCATATATAAGTATATTTTCTGAATTTGTTCAAAACCTTGCAACAAGCCCAACCAAAATATAAAGATGCATGTTTGTATATACATATGTACGCATGCACTTTGATGATCGTGCAACTGTCGGCTGACATTTATTTCTATATGTAGCACAAACAGACAGCAAAACGCTGGGTCTACGGTCTGTTTGTGCTGACAGCTGTACGATGCGCTTTCTATTCGTGAATATGGTTTTATGTGTATGGATTGTCGCAAATTATCAGAGAGAAATTATATGGTGTTTTCTTGCCTAGGCAAGACCATCTGACGTGAGACTTGTGAGAAAATATTAGACTGTACAATTTAATATATCCCGCCTTATTAACTGATCGCGTTCTCGTCCAAGAAAGTCATATAGATTTTTAAACTTAGATTTAACAGTTTACATAATATTGGAATGTACAAAATTATAAGAAGGTTTCCTTCAAAAATGTTCTAATCTATAAAAGTTCGTTATATGTTTCCACATATTATAAGCAAACAGTCGTGATTGTAGCGCGCAAACTAGCAGACGAAAATCACCAATGAAATTTTCACCCGGGTGAAAACCCGTTTTGTTTTGCTCTTCCATTATTTGTTTTGCTCATTTTCCATGCGATGTTTCTCACCCTCCTGTCGCTTTTTCTTTCCTTATATCAACGCTGTTGAACTAAGCGGCGCCCATGTTATGATCGCAACGGTTGCTGACTCTACCTACCGACAGTCAATGTGTTTGTTTTTGATTGCCAATGGTTCAGACAAAAAGCCATCAGAAACAGAAACTGATTTGCTGGTATTTATGCGTGGAATTTATATCTTTATGATTTTTGTTGGGTATGTTTTTAATTCTGTAGTGTTGCAATATTCAGTTATTTAAGAATCCAATTCGCCCAGTTTATATGATAATTCTTAATATTCGAATAGCCATAATTCTTAGACATATTTTATAAGGTTTAACTCTTTGCAATTCAAAAGGTTTGCGAAAAAATTTATTTACATTGAGTTTTTTTTGTTTTTTTTTTTTGGAAATCTTTGAAGTGTAACACCAATAACTAGTCAAGCATAACGAATTTCAAATGCGGCAGAATAAATATTCAGTAGGTATATTTGGCTGTAATGCTTGTACCTATTAGGTCATTTACTTGTGATACATATTGACATTTTCTGTACTATAGGTACCGGAAATGAGGGTATATTTTTACCAGTGGTGCGACGTTTATGACTACTACACCCAGGTGAATGCAATTAGGGAAGCATAAAGTATGCACACACAGGCATGTGTTTAAAAACTGCTACCTGAAATCTTTCATGAAATATTATTGTACTTCCACCCAATAGTGCTTCGTATCAGGGTTAAATTTATATTATTCGATTTATTTTGACAGTTTATAAGTCAGCTGAGTGTTATTTAACGCCAGATACCCACCTTAAAGCATAGCATGCATACACATTTACAAATTTATAATTATTAGAAAAACGGGCATTCTCAATATATTTAAATTCCATCCTCGATGAACCGTTTATTTTTATTTTTTAATGAACAAATTACAACAGCATTCATTGTAAACTTTACAGCCACGCGAATGTGATTGCGCTCAAAGCCGTTCGTAGATAAGCATCTACATATACTGGTGGACAGATAATTAGAAACAATTTATTTTTTTTTTTTGCAAGTTTTGTCTGTGCACTTCGAACCAAGCTTAAATTAGTCTCTTCAAAGCCTTCAAATGGAAAAATTTAGTCACAATCTTTTGAAATTTCACAAAGTTATGGGTTCACTACAGCCCTCACTACGTATATATTTTAATAAAACTATATTATACAATTAAATATTTCAATATTGTAAAACTCAATGTTTCTACCTATCGTTCCGCTACTGTATACATGTATATTAAGAATTCTTACGTACAGTTAACGCCTCCAGCTTGCATAATAATTGAATGTTTTAAGGCGCTATCAGACATACTAGTTATAATTTTTTTTTTGCTGAAACTCTCATTTGAAATTTAGTATACACTAAATAGTGTACAGCTATCATACAAACTACCGTAACTTTGATCCAGTTAAATTTCAAATTTTTTTATTGTTTATTAATTTTTCAAAGGAGACCATTTATTGTTTTTTTTGATTTTTCCTTTGTATTATTTAAAGAAACTAAGCGTCAAATATATATAGTATATATGTATATGTTCTATATTTCTAAATATTAAGTGGGTATTCAGTAGAACACTGATACGGTTGTGCACTCTAGCACCAAGATAAACGATCACTTAAAACTCATATACTTCAACAATTAGAAAAAACGCGTGGATTTTTATATTTTTATTTACACCACACGCGTCTTGCTTTCACTTTACACACATATTGTAATGTTTGCTTTGTGCTAGCCGTACGCACACATAAAGTCAACGAAAAGTAAACAAACACTGATAACATACGCTCTTGCTTCTATAACTGAAGTAGTTAGGGTAGCATATCTTTGCGTCCATTTAAAAGAATGCATAATAAAATTTTATCACATGGCAAGATCCAGAATAAATTGATCATATCAAATCATTTAAATTAATTTGAATTACGGTGCTATATTCAGTTACATATATTTGGAATAATAAATATTTTTTTTTTTTTATAGATACATAGAAGTTACGATCGAATATAGTTCATATATACTAATTAACGCCAAGATGTCGACAAAGGCTACAACACAGCACACGCGTCGTGCACCACTATCGCTTTCCGGCGGCGGCAAACAGCAGAGTCAAAATCATTATAGCGGCAAATCTGCAGACACCAACGGCAGTTCAAATAATAGCGCTAGCGCTAAAAATGACAATAAACATTCTGCAAGTCAGAAGACAGAATCCAGTGTTAACGATATTAAAGAGTCGACATCAAAAGATTTGAAGAAGCCACAAAATGGTGACAAAAAGCAACAGCAGCAATCCGCCAATATTGAGACAGTGAAGAAAAATGAAAAGACTGATGAGAAGAAAACCCAGAATGGCAGTGGCAAAGCCTCTATAAATGGCGGAGCCAAAGAGAAACAGCAAAATGGTAGTGATAAACAGGACAATAATAGTAATGGCACAAACGCCAAGACGGTTGCCACTAACTCAAATGGTACTGCCAACGCCAAGGCTAATACAAAGCCCAATGAAAAAGCTGCACCTCCGAATGTTAAGGAAGATACAAAAACTAAGGAGCCAAAACTTGCAGAGTCCGTTGAAAAGAGTGAAAAGGAGTCTGAGAAGGAGAAAGATAAGGAAAAGGAGAAAAAGAAAGAAAGTGAACCAGAAAAAGTTGTTGAAAAAGAGACTAGATCTCGACGTCATGAGCCTAACGTAGCAACAGAGCAGGAAAAGAAACAAGCTGATAAAAATGAAGCCAATAAAGGTGATGAAACAAAAATGGAAGTAGCTACACCAACATCTCGATCCAGTGCTGGTCAGGCTAAATCCCGGGCTACACCTACAAAGGGTGTGGAGAAATCTGGCAGAAGTACTCCCACAAAACCGGTGGATAAGCCAACTGCTTCGCCACGTAACAAAACCGTCACCACAGTCATAGATGATGTTGAAATGGAACCACTGGCTGTGGAGAACTCACCAGCAAAGTCCAAAGAGAATACGTCACCAGTCGTGGTCGTTGCAGCTGCAGCTGCTCCTGTGCTGCAGCCACCAACCGCCACTTCGACTCCCGGCAAAGCAACAACGGCAACACAAAAGACTAAAACACAAACCATCAATGCCAAATCGGATCAACCGATAAATGCACCCAGTTCTGGGAGTTCACCGGATCGCAAAAGTGTACCACGTACTATTACACATATTGGTGGACGTCGTAGCATACGTCCACTTAACGAATACACTCCTTCGAAATTCCAAAATAATTTACAATTTCGTGAATCCTATCGCCGCATTAACACTGAATTGGACGTCAGTTCAACCACCAATAGCAGCATGAACGTAACAGTTGGCTCAGAGATACCAAACAACTCATCTTTTTCATTTTTCGGACGTGGTCGTAAACGTGACCGCACGCCACCGCGCCAAACGCAATCTACTATGGAGTTGCAAACAGATGCTGACTATTCGCCACCAAAACGTGCACGCCTCGATATGTATAGTTTGTTTAGCGTAGTTTCTTCTCCCTTAACAATGTTACGTTCGCGTTTTTCGAGAGCTTCCATACAAAGCAGCACACCGGTGAAGTTGGCCACTAAACTAGCAACTACAGATGAGGATGAAGCTGATGTACAAAATGTTTCCGGCATTTCTATTGAAGAGGAAAATGCCACCGACGGCGGTGAAAGTGACGAGAAGACTGCGACCGAAGACGTTACTGTAGGGAAAAATGCTGACGATGACACTACATCCAAAATGGACTCACCAATGAAGGTGGACGAAAAGTGTGGTATGGAGAAAGGCGATGAAGTGAACGATGAGCTGGAGGATGCATCCAAGTCCTCGAATGTACATGAGGTTGCAGCTGGCATCGCAGACACATCCGTTTCTTCGGCTAAAAATAGGAGATGTCATATTATGTAAAGTGTATTTGTCGAGAAGTTAAGAGTATTGTCTATAATAGTTATCATAATTTTCTTTAAATGTGTCGGATGTTTAACATATGTATGTACATCTTTGTATGTTAAAACGTCTAAACATTAATTTTACGTTCGTAATACATACATATCCCCGTTTGCTCATTTACGTTCACACATATAATATATTCAACACATACAAACTGATATATCGTTCATGATATAATATATGTATTTGTTTAAGTGCAGTTGAACTTGATGGGTTAAAAGTGTTGTGCAACCCAATCGCATTAAAATTTATTTTTGATCAGCCAATTTATACAAAATGTGTATAAATGTACAATTTAACTAAAGTGAATTTAAATGTAATATTTCCAAGAGTAAAATTTTGTAATATTTCGTAATAGTTGTTGAGAAAATATAAGACAATACCATTTGTTATGGTTTTGTATTGTTTACCGGAGTGTCCGCTTTCCTGAGATATTTGTCACTTCGCTAACATAGAACCGTAGTCCGTATGATATATTGTTTTATATTATTGCAACAACAGAATTTTATTTAATCAAATTTTATTTCAAATCAGACTCAACTCATTTCGCATGTCAAAAAATATAATTTTTTTTAGGCTTTTCTGCAGACATTTCTGCGCAGAAAGGCATAAAAGAATAAATATTTTGTAGAAATATAGAAACATAGTAAAATGTTATAAGTTTGCTTGATTGCTCATTATAGAAATTTTAATAATTTAGTGTTAGTTTAAAATCAAAATCATATCCCATTTGCTTTTTAAGTAAGCATATGCATTTGAAGAGAACTTATGTAATACATACAATACAAATATGTACGTATTTATAGTACCTTACAGACGTTTATTGTTTGTAATCATCAAAAGATTTGTGTATTTTTTTTTTTTTGCAAATATTAAAGTTTCATTTAAAACCTTTGTCATTCAACCATAATAAAGGCATAATTTCATGAATAATAGTTTCATATATATATCTGTACTCATGCATTACAATGATTATATAAATACATACTATATACATAAATTTATGGCAATTTTTAAAAATATTCAATATTCGTAAAAATAAAGGAGATTTTATACAAATAGAAGTATTTTTTCTTGTTAAAGTGTGTTTATTTGAGAAACTTGAGATTTTTTAAAAGAAATTCTAATCGGAGAGCATCCACTACTCAAAAAATATTCTTACCAAAGCTTCTATCCGTAAAAAAAATATCCGCACCAGGTCTGAAAGGCCGGCGCCAACCTAGATTGTTTGCAAGCATAACTGATTATTTTTTGAAAATTTTAAACTTACGTTGTTGCTTTCAGAAGCTTAATTGAATGCCAAAGACTTTATTTTATTACATTAATTTAATTTTATACCTTTTTTTTTCAATAATAAATTTAAATTTCCATGAAAATTTTGCCTAAAATAGTAATTGACATACCTAAATAAAAGCTAACCGTTAACGCCGAAGCAACATCCCTAAATAAAACTGTCACATTACGTAAAATTCTCAATTAAATTATAAAATTTGTACAAAAGAAATGAAAAAACGAACTAAATATTTTTATTAATAATACTTATATCCAATTGCACAAACGTGGTACATCGCGCGATAAGATACAACAACGTTTTCAGCAACCATCGACGCTCACCGATGCCGCAGCTCTTATTTAGGTAGGTACAAAACCAGTAAACCACAGTCTACACCTCCCTTTTTATTAGTAAATGGCAGCACTGCTGGTAATATTCTTGAAACTGTAACTTGGCAGTACTCTGCATTGGCAGTTATGTCAAATTAATTTTCATGAATTTCAACGTTCGGTCGAATTTTTGAAAGAATTATGCTACATTTTATAATTTCGTGCGCGATTTCTAACTCACCGTTTGGTTAAAAGACAAACGCAATAAATAATACAAACGATAAATCAAATACGTTCAAGAGAAGGTTATTTAAAATAAATTATATCTTGTATTAACCACAGATCTTCTAATATTAAGTGCGCGGCAAAATTTTATCCAGAACTTTACGATTGTAACATGGAAAAAGAGGAGACTGCAACAGTGCAGTATCATCATAGCGATTATAAGACACCCAAAAAGTCATCTTTGATAATAGATGGCGAACGCTTATTGGATAAAATAAACATATTAACGACAAGGCCTGAGAATCAGTCATGCACAAAGGTATTAATTGGAGCAGCTTTATAAAGAGATTTTATGGTTTTATAATTAACAATTGTGTTGTAGTTAGTTTATAAAACACACATTTGTTGGTGTTGTGCATTCTATTTAACTAATCGTAATGTGCAGTTAACTCGGCGAAGTGCCAGTGGCATTCGTTGTGCATATCTTTGTCTTTATTTTATAAAACGTGAATTTTTTGGTAGCTGTCCTTTCTGTTTTCTACAATCAGCACAAAATGCCACATTATGTTAATAACAAAGTTTTCTGTGCATAATTTTATTTAAACAATATGAGTAAAAATATCTAATTATTTTCTTCAGTTGCCAACCATAAAAGACTTCGTTATTATTAAGCCAATCAGCCGCGGTGCATTTGGAAAGGTATTTCTGGGATATAAAAATAATGATCCAAATAGATTATATGCCATCAAAGTTATGCGAAAATCCGAGATGATAAATAAAAATATGGTATCGCAAGTGATTACGGAACGCAATGCTTTGGCATTATCACGTAGTCCATTTTGTGTTAGCCTCTTTTATTCGCTACAATCGGTCTCGTACGTCTATTTAGTTATGGATTATATGGTAGGTGGTGATCTAAAGTCGCTCCTTACCATGTACGGGTACTTTGACGAAGCAGTTGCGCGTTTCTATGTTGCAGAAGTTGCGCTAGCGTTGCAATATTTACACGAGCACGGCATTGTGCATCGCGACATAAAGCCAGATAATATGTTATTATCAGCGACCGGTCATGTAAAATTGACCGATTTCGGTTTAAGCAAGATTGACAATCGAAGAGGTAATTATAATTTTGTTTTTATATTAATTTTTTTTTAATAAAAATGTTGTTATTTCAGATTTGGAAATTTCGGATTTGATAAATATATCGCCCACCTTAAATACACGTACACCTGGCCAGTTGCTTTCCCTAACGTCACATTTATCCTTTGGATCCGAGAAAAAAATGGAGTGTGGCACTGGCATTTCGAATCTGATGAATGCTATGAATAAACGCAGTATGATTGTTAATATGTTTATGTTACTGTATATTGTTTAAATATTTTATGCTGCAGATATGATAACTGAGTCTTCGGATAGTGAGGCGGACACATCATTTAATGAAGCTGAACGCACAAGCGATAGCAAAATCTCTGGCGTATCACCGTTCTTTTCTGCCGAGGAGATTAATGTTTCGGTATCACACACATGTACAATTAATGTGAGTTTGTGAAGATGTTGTGGATTTCCTTACATAAAAATAAATAAATTTTTTTACATCTGCGTTTGCAGCCACAACTTGTCGACAGCACTTCTTCGTACCACACGTGCACATCCACAGAGATAAGCAAAAACGACACAAGTACCGGTGTCACAAACGCGGGCTCTAATACAAAACATGTTGGCTTCGTAGACATTAGTATTGATCTCAAGGTTGCAGTTGCTGCAGCGCGAGCGAATTGTAATGTGAGTAAAACATAAAAAAAAATTAAATAAATTTTTTGTTTGTTAAATTTAAAAGTTAAATTAAACTTCATTGCTCTTATCGTTAAAAAGGGTTGCAAGCAGGAAAAAAATATACAAATAAAAGAAAATACAGAGAATAAGGTTTTAATTAAAATGGAGCAGAGGGTGCAAGAAGATGCTTCATTTGAGTTTAGCATGGTTCGAAAGCGTTCCATGGATGAGGTGTGTAAGCTTTTTTTTATTGTTTGTGTGTGATGTTTTGGGAAGGAAATTTTTGGTTAAAATGTTTATTTACTGCTAACCATTTTCAATTTTAACAAATAATTTTTCATGTGGTGTCTGTCGTCCAAATATGTTCTATACTTTTTCACTGTTACATTGTTTTATCAACTTTCCTTTACATTTGTATGTGTTGTAATTTTTGTTGTTTGCCATTTAAACTGATATATTTTTATACATGCATATAGCGTTTGCGTGTTTCCAAAGTCGCCGAAGACTCGGGTGTATCGAGTCGTAAAAGTGACTACTCGCTATCGCAGATTAACACGACTACTAATTCGCTGGATAAGGCGGAGAATATGTTTATTTCGAAGAATGATATCAGCTGCTCGGACTATTCGCGCAGGTATGATACACGTAAATATTTAAAAAATTATATGAAAATCATTGGATTTGCTTGTAATTTTAGCTATAACACGAATAATACCAATGAAACCAGCAGTATGCGTTCACCGTTTCGCAACCTTTCGAAAAATTTCAAACGTCCTGAATTTCTAAGGTTGTTCACCCTAACTAGAAATGCAAAAATTTTAATAAAAAAAATTCGATTTTTATATTTATCACCTTTAGGGGTATGAAACGTAAGCTAAATCTTTTAAATCGTTCGGAGACCTCATCCAATCTGGAGACGGACGGTTCCAATTCGGCATCAAATTCTGGCAGCACCGGCCTCACGCAAGAAATCGATTTGCTGGATATCGGTAGCAGTACGCCGAAAAAGCGTAAAGCAGTTAGTGGCGTATTGAAAATACGTTCACTCTCAGACGATGAAATGCCGCCGACACTCCATGAGCATGTCACAAATGTGGTCTTCTCGACACCTGTGTCATCGCAAAAGGTGCCACGTCGTGACGGCGGTTTGTTGGGTAAACTTAAGGCCACACGTTTCGCATTACCACTCTCGATAGAGGCGAAAAGAATCGAACCAATGACAGAGAAGACGTCGTATCTTAAGATGGCTGCTGATGATCCCACCATGTCACCCATTAATTTGGGCAATAATGTGCCGAAAACACCGAAATGCATAAATACACCATTTCGCACACCGAAATCGGTGCGTCGCGGCATCGGTCGTCAGTCCTTTGAAC